TAGATACCCGAGCCCGCTTACCGTGTCGAGGAATCTGTGCAAAACTGACAATTCTCGCTTCGTGCCCCCCTTCGTGTCAGCCCGCAAAGTGCCCCCCTTAATCCAGCGCGAATACCATTGATGTTTCACCACACCTGCATGCCGTTTGGTTAGCCAGAAGGCCCTCGAAGATCATGCAACACGTCACTTACCCAACAAGAGATTGTGCATCGGATCTACAACTGTCATAGCCACACAGTCGTAGTAGGGAAGCCGCATGAGCTCCGACCACCGCGACCCATACTGCTTGAAATAGTCGTCACGATCTTTCTTGTCTTCGAGCGACTGCCATGCTCGCGCACGAGCCACGTGAACCTCGGCGCTTCTCGGCGGACATCCTAACGAAATATCAGTTAGATGGAGTCGTTGCAGGTGCGCTTGGTCATAAAGATAGTTGAAGCGGACTGGGAAACAAGCGAGAAGATAGGGACAGAGAGGGAGGCAGAAGCTGTGAGTGCTAGCAAGGCAGCCTAGCCGACTGGTATCACTACGAGAGCAAGCATGTACTTACCTCCCTGGAGACACTCGTCCGAATACAAGTTGTCAGAGTCGACGTCTCCCTGAGTGCATGGCGCGTTGTTATGGCTTTTGTCTGCAAAGCCAGCTGCCTTGCACATCGTGGGATGATCGGCACATGTGCAGACCACAGCGACCCGCATCCGTCGGCCTAAAAATAATGTCAGCGGAAAGTGTTGAATCTCGTGTGCACGGCTTGACATACCCTCTCTGCGCGACTCAGTGGGGGCAAATATTCCTAGGTAGAAGAGGACAAGAAGGTCATCCACAATGAGCGCGAGCCAATGCTGTAACTCCTCAGCATCAGGCTCCTTGGGTCCATCAGTCATAGCACTGAGGATCAAGTTCTCGACACGATAGCTATGGCCAACTGTTAGAGTATCCCGAGTGTTGTCCTCAAAAATTGACGCACCGTAGTACAGGCGGTAGGTTAGGAATAGAGAATGATATGGCACCCGATGAATACGATGCACTGAAAGCGCTCGAAGAGGCTGAAAACCTGTGGGGGAAGTGATCACAATCGTATGGAGACGACGACCAAGCCTAGCATCTGCGATCTCGATCACTCTGGTGACAGACTCACCAATCTACATGGAGAATCACTCCTATGCGAAGCTCGTCTGCTCCTTGGGGCCCGAAGAACGGCTGGTCATCGGCCCCCTGGAGACATTTCCACCGACGACCATCCTGGATGGAGCGGAACACGCCAGGAGGCGGCGGAGGCCTGTAGCGCCACGCATCCAGTTCCCTCTCGATGCCCGGGTGACGCAACAAGTACACGAGAGCGGCAGAGAGGAGACGAAATGGCGTCACAGCCTTGGGTATAGGTGTTGGGGGGGGACGTCCAAGGAGACGCAATAAGACGTTGCGGGGCCCCTGGCTGAAGAGGGGGATATCGCATTCAGGGCATTTGATGTGGCGGTTCACGAGCTCCGGTTTGAAGAGACGTCGACACTGGGGACATTCGATGAGGACATGAAACCTGTCAGTGAGATCGAGGCGCTTGAGTGCAGTTGTAAGCGTCGTAGGCATAGGATCGGCGGTATCGATGAGCTTGAGAGCAAGGAAGATGCAACGAAGCGTCGAAAGGGTGAGGTTGCAAGCACGAAAGGTGACATGATGGTGGGTGTGCAAGAATACGACCAGGAGGAGAATAGAGCGGATGTACCACACGTTGTGGGCTGAAGTATACACCTCGGAGGCAGGAAGAGGAGGGGGGATACTAGGGAGCTCGCACGCTCGTGCGAACAGCGGGTGCACAGGCTCAGAGACACCAGGACAAGGCCCAAGGCTGTTCCCAGAAGACATCGCAGGTGTCGTAGTCCAAGATTCGTCAGCTGAGCCCAGAGATTGGCTGGCGTCGCCGGAACAGTTGGTCGCCAACGAGAGGTTTGACACGTCTCCATCACGGCTGATGGAGACAGAATTGACGTCGTCTACCTCCGGCTCCACGTCGACCTGTTGCGGGCATAAATCTTCGGCGAGCAGCTGCAATGCGTCCAGATCATCCGGGTCATCGTAGAGACCAAGGGAACGGGCATGCTGAAAGGGATCCTCGAAAGGCTGAGTGTCCGAGGTATTGAGCTGGGCGCGCTCATCAGATATCGCCGCCTGGCACATTGGCGCATCGTCTCCTCCATCGAGCAGAAGGTCTGCGCTATGCGGAAAGCTCTATACGAATAATATCTGTCAAAATCAAAGCCACTACGACGCATATAGGTACTGATGCTTACTGTTGTCAGGTCCTCGTCGCTAAGTCGGCCGGTCGGGTCATCGATGGGATAGTCAATATCCGCTGGCACGAGGTCATCAAAAGGCGTTGTCGATGACTCCAGGGCTTCATCCCTGAGAGGGGTGTTCAGGAGAGACGTGGTTCGGGCGCGCTTCTGTGGTATGCTGGCGGGAACGCTAGAAGTGATAGAAACGGCGCCTGACGGCGTGGGCGGACCACCACGACCACCTCGTAACAGATCCGATGTGGCACCGCGGCCGCCTCGTAGCAGCGCACCATGGCTGCCTCGTAGCGGCGCACCGCGGGTGCGAGATCCAGTAACGGTGGCTCGACCTCGTCCGCGCTGATAAATTTGAGAACCCATCCTCCGCGCAATCCTCTCATGGCCCAAGGACGTTGTGGTGGGGATCCACTGTCCGATGGGGTCGAGCTCTGTGCACATTGGACAAGTGCACAGGGTGTGGCGGTTAGTGCTAAATATTGTTGCCATCGAGTGTAGTGAGGGGAAGAAGGAAGAAGGGGTGTGTGTACTAGAGGTGACGTGCGACGTGAAAATGCTCTGTAAATCCTGAAGTCTCCTAGTACACGAAGATGTGAGTAGACCATCAATTACAGGTTGTGATAACAGAGCTGTTCGAAAACATTTACAAGGGGGCGACCAGGCAACAAAGCCAACGTCGAAACATATGCGAGTTTATTGATCACTTACAACTACTTACGACACACGACTTCTCGGAGTTGCCCAAGTGCGAAGGGACTGTCAGGTATGGATGAAATATTTTGATCTATTCACAGATACTCATAGGCTGCTACTAGGCCTCAAAGTCGAAGCACGAGTGGATGTCAGTACATTGACCATATAGGGCTACTCACATACTCTTTAGGGCGCGACGACGCGACGCGTTTGCCACGTGTAGTACGTGTTGATTTGCCATCCATTTATGGGTATTTGTTTGCATTTGTATTGACACGCATAGTACAGTCCCTTGTAAGGTCATATCCCTCCAACTACCTAGTAATCTCTAACGTACACAAGCTTGAACCAGAAAGTCCTTAAACGCGGTGATTGGCCAATGCCCCGGACCCAAACTGGGACAGAGAAATGGCCTGGGAATGGATGCCTGTCACAGGTGATGTCCCAAAGCCTAGCTCCGGACCCGAGCCAGCCGGCGCTAATACCAGAAAAGGAATATTGAGGCTGACAAACCATATGACATCAGCGGTTT